AGTTTCGGATGTGGGCTTCCAAAATCGTCGGTGCCAGGGCCCAAGGGAAAGCGCGTAATTCACCTTCTCGACCCCTTGGGAAAAGCTTGGCTTGCCGCAGCTATTGCCCGGAAGCGACCGCTTCCCTTGGGACCTTCGGATTACGGTTTCTCAAGAGGCCGACGAAAGGAAGGGGCCATGTTGGTTATTCAGTGTATGCTACATAGGCTTCGAGTTTCAGGTTATTCCGCCAGCTGGTCCAACAAGGACCTCAGCAACGCTTTCGCGTCCACCAGCTGGGATGCGCTCGAGCTTGCCAATTCTCTCTTGCTTGAGCCCGAGGATCAGCGTTTTGGGCTTGATAGAGTACGATCAGCTACTATTCAGTTGCCAGCTGCGGACAAGAGGCTTCTCGTGAAGCCCAAGTGCGGGGCTCTCATGGGCGACCCCTACGCAGTAGAAAGTTTTGGCCGTGCTTATGCTGCTCCAGTGGATTGCTGGAGCGAGCAACTCTTGGACTGTGTTGACTCGGAGAGTCTGCTTGCAGCTGAATGCCCAGTCACGCATCAGCACATGGACTTGAGTCTCACTAAGTATGCTGACGATCTGACCAAGTTGCATGTTGGAGGTGGTCCCGACTCTCCTTTGCAAGACGCAGGGTTGGCAGAACTTAGCAGCATAAACGAGTTTTCCAACGCACGACTAGATGAGCACTTATCTACGGGGGGATGGGAGCAGAACGTTATGAAGCAGAACACCATCATTAGTCTGACGGGGAAGGGGTCTGTGGATGCCAACCGACGTCTGCGAAAGGATGGGGACGCTCTTTTTTTCTGGCGGAGTTCGTCCCGCCATGCGAGTCCTAGGAGCACATATTCACAGCTCTGGAGCACTGGCGCCTGAGATCAACAAGAGAATAGTGGCAATAAAGTCGGCATATCATTCCTTGGGCAGGTTCTGGTCTACTCCTGGGGTACCTCATCGGCTTGAAAGGTCTTGTCTACTGGGGGTCCAGAACGCTGGGATATCTAATCTAGAAACCTTTCTCGTCACGGAGAGCCAGTGCAATAAGCTCGACTCGGCTATCGTTCGGTATTGTCGCGTTGCAATGCATGGTGCCAGCTTTGAAGGCGAACGGCACACGCAGACCTTGTCGAATGCGAAGGTGCTCGAGCACTGGCGCATGGTCCCAACTTTCACCGAGCTCAGGATTCGCAGGCTTGGATGGCTTGCCCAATTTGTTCAGTTTCCTCGCAGGAACTCGCAGATATTGGCTGCGATGTTCGGTACCTTGCCCACGGACGAGCGGCCTCAATTTAATTACATGGGACGCTTGTCAGCATCTGCTAACCCGTGGGCCAGGACATTTTACGCCGACCTGGAATCGCGTTCGTCTCTAGAAGAAGGAGAAACATTACTAACACGACTTCAGGGGTCTTTCCTCGCTCTCTCCTGGGATAAGAATCTTGGGAGGGACTTTTGCAAGATCGACGTTACCCAGTTACGACGCAAACAACACACAGTAGCTATCCCGCCCCCTGAGTACGAGTCCCCCTTGGACCAGGTTCTCGAGCAGGAGGTGGTGGAAGGGGTCGCGTTCAGATGCATATGTGGAGTTTTCAAGGAGGAGGAGGGCGAGGACGGTATGACGTTGGGGAGAAGATGTAGGTGCAACGCCAAGTTTTGTGATAAGAAATCGGCCCTCAATCATCTGCGATTTCATCACCACCTACGTTATTTGGGCCATGTCTTATGTGTTACCAATCAATGCCCGAATTGTTTGGAGTTGTTTTCCTGCCGTGTGACTGCGGCTCGACATCTGGTGGGGTCTATGGTCCGAGGGTGCTGCTATGCTGGAGGGGGTCACTCACAGGAGCCACTACAGGAGCCCGATGACCTCTTATGCAAGATATGCGGTTACCATGCATCTGAACTCCCCGATTACCAACACCATGTCAGTAGTCATTTACCTCAAGTGTTGAGGGTGTACGACCGAAAGCAGCACAGATATCTTGACGAGCAGCTACTCGAAGCTGATGCCAGAGTCTCAGGCGCGCCCCGCTTGGATGGGCAGGCGCAGGGACGGAGGCCCCGCTCACAAGGAGCCCAGGCGAGGCGGCGAAGACCGCGGAGTCGGCTCGCAGCAGGTCGTGGCGGTCGGCGGCGCCAAGGGCGCCAACAAGAAGCAGACGCTATAGGAGCTCGTGGTGGTCCTGGCCAAGCTGGTGCTTACGGACGAGGCGCAGTTGAGGGCGATGCTGGGCGCGGTGTACGACACATTCCTCACGCCGCTCGACGCCGCCGTGGCCCAGCGTACGCTCGAGGAGGGGGCCAACTTCAACACCGAGGCGGGGGAGCGGCGCCAGAAGCTGGCGGAGGCCGCGAAGAAGGGCGAGCAGCTCGAGTTGCGAGGGGGACACGCTGAAGGCTGGCCGCCAGGTGCTGAAGACCTACTGGGACCAGAAGGTGATGAAGGCTGCCTCGCCGAACGAGCTCCACGAGATGGTGCGCTACTGCCGCGTACAGAGGCTCAAGACCAAGAACGCCAAGCAGGGCGAGCAGGTGAAGATCCAGTTCCTTCTGGACACGACGACGAACGACGGGGTGGTCCTTCTCAAGGCCATCCGCGAGGCGCTGGTGGAGCAGGGTGCAGAGAAAACGATCGGAGGGGCTCCCCGAGGCGTTCTTGTGAGGGAGGCTCAGAGGCTTCTGGATCTGGTGAAGTAGTAGTGACGGCAGCGGCTTCAGGATCTTGTGAGGCAGTGAGGGCCCCTGTTGTAGAAACTCCAGGTCAAGTGCTACTTAGAGTTGCTTCCGAAATGGGGGTCGCCAGAGGTCTTCGCGGGCTCTCTCCCACTAGGCCCGCCAGACTTCCGCCTGACCTGGAGGCTCGTTCAAGAGATAGTGTCGAGCAGGCTTCTAGTGCTAGCAGCAATTTTGTTTCTTTGGGGGTGGGCCCTGATTGGAGGTCCAGTCGCCACGCTCAGAGGCTCCTGAACCGAGGGTTGCTGAGTGAATCGGCAGCGCAGCAGGTCTCGGGACTGGCTGAAGCGTCCACCCCCCTTACTCTTCTTCCTGCTGCGATTCCTGCTCCTCCTGGCCTTGAGCCTCCTCCCCTCTCGCCTGCTGCTGCTACCCATCTCCTGTTTACTTTCCTTCGGCTCCCGAAGTGGGGCCAGCCATCGCACTCCCCCGCCCACGCCCGCCAGGCAAGGGAAAGGGGCGGCACCGTCCAGGCAGGTAGCTGGGGGCGGTGCCGAGGGCGGCAGCCTCAATGCTGCGCGCCTGCTGGGCCCGCCGCCAGGCCTGTGTCGGCCCCACACGGGCGCCGATCAGCGCGCGGCGGCGTGTCAAGATAGCCCTCCGCACGGAGAACCCAGGCGCCACCCCCCTCTCTGCGGCACGCTCTTTCAGATTGTAGTTTGCAGTCAGTAGAGTTGTCACGGATCGGCGCCCCACGGTCCTATCCTATCCTCCTCCTCCTCCACCTCCTCCTCCTCCTCCTCCTCCTCCTGCTCCTCCTCCTCCCCCCCCCTATGTCTACCCTCCCCTCCGTATCTGTGGCCCTGGCTTCTCCTCCTCGGAGTGGGACCCGTCGGGCAGCGGGCCCCGTCGCGCCCCCAGAGACAGGGCGACGCCGCCAGGCGCGAAGAGAGGACGCCCTGCCCGCCTTCGCGGCCGCCTCGCGGCTCTTCAGCTCGGCCACCTCGATGGGCCGATTCTCCGCCACCACTGCCATGGGAAGGAAAGGGCGGAGGAGGAGGAGGAAAACGACGAGGAGGAGGAGGAGGAGGAGGAGGAGGAGGAGGAGGAGGAGGAGGGGGAGGAGGAGGAGGAGGGGAGGAGGAGGAGGAGGAGGAGGAGGAGGAGGAGGTGGAGGAGGAGGAGGAGGAGGAGGAGGAGGAGGAGGAGAGGAAGAAGACGAGGAGGAGGATCTCGTTGCTATGCGCCGCGCTGCTGGGCCACGGGAGTTCTGTGTTAAAGTGCTCGCGTGCTCTGCAGAATTCGGCACACGCCGAACATTTAACGAGTTGAATCGGACGCATCTTACACGGATCCACAACCAGGCAAACTGCACAATCAGGACTTGGCCGCGAGAGCGGCCGCCCGAAACGAGCCCAGGAGCGGACCCGAAGGACCCGAAAATCAGTCGACCCCAGGACCCAGGCACAAAGGGCCCGCCCCGGGGAAAAAGCAAGGGCCCGAGAAACTACAGATAGGGTCGAACCTTCCGTACGCGCTGGTCAAAAAAAACGGTGCTGAAACATGTGGCGATTCGGAAGCACAGCTTGCGAGGGCACGCTTCGGCGAGTTCAATGTACACAGTACCCTCGATATTCTTGCCTTCTACCTGCATGTGTGAAAACCCCCTGAGCGAGCGCACAGCCCTCGACCGTCGCAACGTTTTACAGCGGGCCCCATGTTCAGATTCGTGGCACGAAACCGAGTCCGCTGCCCCCAGGGAAGTCCCCCCAGACAAAAATATACGAAAAAGTCGAGGGTGGAGGAGGGGGGAGCAGAGGAGGACGACAGCGACGACGGCGACCCAGGGGAGAGGGCAGAGTGGTTCCATACCCAGCTCTGGCCACGATTCTCGATCGCAAGCGGCATCCCGCATCGGCTCGCGAGACCGAGGAGCCCACCCGACAAGGCGGCGAGAGCGTTCCCGACACAGACGGCATTCTCATCCCAGGGTTTCAGTCCCGGCAGGCCCAGAGGGAAACTAGCATTTCGCAGCGTCGCCAGCCCGTTGGGCCGATTGCGACCCGTGCTAAAACTATTGCAAGGCAAACCGAGCCACACGGCTCGGAGAGAACCGTCTCGAACACGAGCTCGGATGAAACTCTGGAGGGATCTCTGCAGAATATCGCGTTGGGGTCCGTGCCTCGAGTTGATCTCAAAGATCGGAATACCGCGAAGCCTCGGGGCCTGACGCCGAGCCGCGCTCAGGCGGCCCGTGCCTTCGAACAGCTTCAGGGCGAACCCCAGCCGAGCGAAGCTGCCCGGCCGCCAGCGTCGCATCAACTCGGCAGGAGCCACGCGGAAGTCGTCTGCTCGGCGGCGGCGGCCGCCCTCGCCTCGCTGGCGGGCGGCGGCCGCAGCACCTGGTTCACGCGCCCTCGGTCCTGGATCGCCCTGGCGTCGCGGGCGCCCGTCATCGCGTCGTGGGATGCCGTGCCGTGTCTCGGCGCGCACAGCACAGGCGTCGCCTCGCCGATGAGGCCCACGGCCTCGGCAACCGTCTCGGGCGCCACGGCCCACTCGCGGTAGGCGACGGGAAACACCTGGGCGGCGCTTCCGCTCCCGCGGAGCCGCGCCGTCACCCTCTCCACGAACTTGAAGGGGTCTACGGCGACGATCAGGATGGTCTCGCCCCCAACACCTGCCTCGGACATCTCCGCCGGCTCCTGGGGGTGGAGGGCGATGCTCCACTTCTTCCTCAGCGCGCGCTCCGAGCCCGCAGGCGGCGCCAGATCGCCCTCGCGGATCCTCAAGAGCCCGCCCAGCCTCAAGTAGCGGGCGCAGGCGAAGAGGGCGGCCGCGCCGACGAGACAGCCCCCCTGGTCCATCAGCAGCTCGGCCACAAGGCGCGCCGCAGCCTTCGACAAGGGCAGGCGTGCCCTCGAAGCCGCGTTCGACGCCCAGCCGCCGCAATGCGTCTGGTTCGGCATCTCCACCACGGCGCTCTCGGCATCGGACGACCGCTGGCCGCGGAGCTGCTGCTGGCACGCCCACTCCAGGAAGCGCTGGAACTGGTCGCGGCACTCTGACTCTAGCCGCAGCCTCGCCGAGCGCAGCCCCAGCAACCACCATCCCCGACGAGCCCCACTGCCCCTCGCCGACGGCGGGGGGCGGACAGCGCGGCGAGCCGCGGCGCGCGCCTCGCGCACGATTGCCTCCTCGCGAGCGGGGTGGGCCTCGCGCCTCGGCCTCGGCTATCAGCGGCCCGCGCCGGGGAAGGCGTTCCGGGCGGCTCGCCGAGGGGCAGCGGCCGCCGCGCCCCGCGCGCCGCGGCCCCGAGGGAGCAACCGCGGCCGCGGCGTCGCGGGGGGGGCCCCGGGCTGAGGCGCGCGGGCAGCGGCGGCCTCGCGAGGCCGCATCAGCAGCGTCCCTCCCGGAGGGCAGCCAGCGCCAGGCGGGGGGCAGGTTGGCCGCGAGCACCAGGGCCGCCGATCTCCGAAGGGCGCGGCTGAGGCCAAACGAGCCTCCACGGCCCTTGGCCCGAGAAAGAATTACAGTCATCGCATCTCCGAGAATCAGGTGGCGCTGTCCATGACATGTGGAAGTCCTGGCCAGGTGATTGAGCATCCAGGTAGCAGCCCGAGAGCTCCAAGTGAACCTGGCGGTCCCCGGACGCCCACCGAAACGAGGCCGCGCGACGCCACTATCCTCCCCAGACTCGCCCAGGAAAAGGAGGCGCACGATCGACGCCCTCGACTCCGTCACCCCGAAAGAGGTCTCCACGAGGATCGTGAAAGTGATCGTCTCCTTCTCGTCTTGAAAACCGCCATCTGTCACTGCAGCACCCCGTCGTCTTCGCGCCCGTCTCGCCAACGTACTTGCTCACCACCCCGCACCCCCAAGACGACGCATTGAACGCACGCGCTGTAGGGCTCCAGGAGGCGTCGAGCTCCAGAGAGGCCACGAAGACTAGGGTGGCAATCCGCTTGAGCTCGCGAACCACCGAAGGCCACAGGGTCACTCTTTCTTTTTGGAACTGCTGGGCAAAGGCGAAGCATGCCTAGGGCGCGCCCAGCACCTCGCGCGGACGAGACCCCGCGTCGCGAAGTGGCCCATGAGCGCTGAGATCTCGCGCCCGCTGGCCCGCCCGAGCTGCGCCGCGCGCAGGGCCGCGAGCCGCAGCCGCCACGCACTGCGCAGCGACATCGAGCAGCGCCCGTCCTCGGTGAAGTGACAGCCGAGCGCGTCGCCACCCGCGCTGAGCTCGATGTCGTGCATCGGCAGGCCTGCAGCTTCCAGGCGACCTCGGACGCGGGCCACCACGTCCCTCACCACGGCGGGGTCCCGCCCGAAGCACGCGGAGTTGTCAGCGCATCCGGCGCGCGCGATGGGCGTCGGCCCGGGCGGGGGCCCGCCGTCGACCAGCGCGTTGGCCTCCGACGCGTCGGGCGGTCGCCGCGCCAGCTCCTCGCGCAGCGTCTGGCAGGCCTGCGGAGCCAGCGCCCAGCCCAGCCCATCGGCAGCACGGCGATAACGGGGTGGATGGACTCGCCAGATTTGGCGGGCTGCCCCTCCTCCTCCGACGCGCCCAGCTCCCAGGCGCGCACCCTGTCGAAGCCGAAGAGGTCGCGCACCTCGGGGGGGGGCATGGAGATCGCGTAGAAGGCCGCGCGGATGTCGGCGCCGCCCAGCACCGGCGGCGGCCCCGCGTCCAGCTGCAGGTTGGCGAAGCAAGCTCGGCTGGCGATCTGCGCGGGGTCATGATCCTCGAAGAAACAGATCGCGGTGCGTGCGTCGATGACGAGCTCTTGCGCCCCTGACTTCTTCCAGGCACTGAAGCACCCCACTCGACGTCTTACTTTGCGCTGAAAGTCGAGGAAGTTGGCGGCGTGGAGCCGTTTCAGGATCTCCAAATACACCTTGCGGCCCCTCATAGCGGGGCCGGTTTAAGCCCGACGCCAGCCCAGGAGCTTCAACTTCGCTTTCCCCTCCACGCCTGGTAGCGCCTCGTCTGAAAGCCTCGTCTCGATCAGCTCGCCCACCGAACCCACGGCCTCCTGCGACGACGCAGGTCGAAATCCAGGTGGAGGCAGGTCCAGGAAATCCACGCGAAGAGGAGCAAGCCGAGAGGATGAACTGTCGTAGGCCGGCCTGGACCGAAGCTCGTCGAAGGCCCCTGGCCAGTCGAGGTCGTCGGGGGCCGGCCCTGTGTCTGCTGCGCGTTGGCGCAGGTGGTCCAGGGCAAGACTTTGCGCCATCGTCGGCCTCGAGGCGTCGCGGGGGGACCCACGACGCGTCGCCCCGTGCATGTCGTTGAGGGTACCGATGGGCTCGTCCGTCGCTGCGTCGATGGCGGGCTGACGGTGAGCTCTCCTCTGGGTAGCCCGGCAAGCAGCGCAGGGAGGTCCTCCACGAGGTCGGATGTCCCGAAGAAGGGGTACAGGAAAAAGATCCCGCTGGCGAAGGTCGGGGACTCCTGCGCCGCGTGCGAACTCAGCCCTGTGATGCCCGTCGAACCCGGACTTGAAACCCGACGGGGGTCCGTCATGCGCCATTGCCAAGGGCGCGGCGTTCCTTCCGCGCCTTGCGCACCTGCTTCAAGATACTGACATCTCGTTCGACTTCACGAGCGAATGAGTCCAAGAGGTCTGGCGAGACCACCGTCTCGCCGGCCTTGCGGTGGCCGCACAGGAACGCGTCGCTCTTTTCCAGCAGGCCGGCGCCCCCGCAGACATTGCAGCGGTTCTTCTTGTCCTTCGCCTCCTTGTCGCTGCTCCCTGAGGGGCCTCCTCCCATCGGCTCGCGGGAGCACGCGTTCTCCACCCGCTGACAGTCACGGGCGATTATCTGCAGACAGGCGCAGTTGGCAATCTCCAGGGCGACGTAGCTCGCCGCCATCTCCAGCGCCGAAGCCCATTCTCGTGCACCTCGACGCCCCAGTCGCCGCGCTAGAGACGATTCACTTGCCGCCACCCCGCATGATGATCTCCAGGACCACTGCCACGCCTGTCGAGGAACCTCATCACCCATTCCACGGTGCGAGGCCCCTGCGCAGGCCAGTCGTGGAACGGGGTCACCATCACGAGCTCCACGACCTGCCAAGGCCTTCGCTGCCTGCGGTCTGCCACCAGCTCGATCGGCATGATGCGAGCGTCGGCCACCGACTCTACCCGCACGAAGGAGTCCAAGTCCTTGTACGGCATGCGGCGGACCGAGGTGACCGCCAGCCCTCGGGGTCCAAGGGCAGCGCCAGGCACCTGATAGAGGCCAACGTCGCCGACCCTGGGCATCCCCGCGCCAGGGAAATCGACCATGCCCCTCTGCAGCCCGTGCAGCGTTTCCGTGACCACCCACACCAGCTCGTCGCCGTGAGGCAGCACTGGTGGGGGTCCTCCCGTAGCGGCGGCAGCGCCTGCGCCCACGCCCGCGCCCCCGGCTCCGCGCCCCGCTCCGCCGACGGCGTCGCCTCCGCCGATCGGCCGGGGTACGCCCTCTCCCTGCCCGGGGAAACGAGGAGCGGACAGCGGGGCGCGGGCGGGGTCGGCGGCCAGCGGCAGCAAGGCGCCTCCAGCAGGCTCCACCCCACGACCCCCATTGCGACGATCTCTTGCCACGAACTCGTCGCGCGCCACCAGCCGCCCTTGCCCCTCGAACTCCAGCAACAACTCAGCTGGCGTCGGCTCGCGACGGAAGCGATACGAGCCTGGAGGGACCCCTGGAGGAGGAGGAGGAGGAGGAGGAGGAGGAGGAGGAGGAGGAGGAGGAGGAGGAGGAGGAGGAGGAGGAGGAGGAGGAGGCCGACACTCACTCCAGCGTGCAGCCGCTATGTTGGCATCGGCCCCCCCGTACGTCTCACAGTGCACGTCCGCGTCGTGGGTGACGATGACCACGTCAATCGCTGCCGCCGGAAAGCCCGCCGCGATCCCCAGCACCAGCTGCAAGTGGAAGAGGCCGGCCCCTGCGTGCTGCACCCACGCCCAGGCTTTTGGACGCCCAGCGGCGCCATCGGTCAGCGAACGCGCGGCCGCGGGCGGGTGGCCTGCCTGCAGTGCACTCCAGCACGGACGCGCCGAGACGAGCACGAACACAAGCACGGCGTGCACCGCCACTCCAGGTGGCGCCTCCGAGCAAATCCAGAGCCAGCCCGGGCACCCAGCCCAGCCAGTCCGAACGGCTCCGCGCCTCCCCAGCCAACCGACCCTCCGCCTCGCGATGGGGGGGCCGCTGGCTCCTGATCGGCCCCCGGGCCGCGACCCTCCTGGCTGGCCTCGCCGGAGGCCGCAGGAGGGAGGACAGGCCCCGGCGGACACTCCACCACGGGGCAGGGCGGCACCGGCGCCGCTGGGCAGTGCAGCGAAGGGCAGGCGGCCGCCTCCGCGCAGCGCAGCTGGGGCCAACAGGGACCTCCGCACAGCGCAGGTCGGGACAGCGCGGGCAGGCTGCCACCTCCACGCGCCAGGCCCGATCCACGCTCGAATGGGTTACCCAAGCTGCCAGCCAGGCTATCGCGGCCGTGACACTGGGACTCGGACGCATGACAGCTTGAGCCAGGATGGGAAAGGACGACCCATGCCTGATCTGTAGCGAAACCCAAAATGCACATCTGAAGATCTTTTCAGGAGAAGGAGGACGAGGAGGAGGAGGAGGAGGAGGAGGAGGAGGAGGAGGAGGAGGAGGAGGAGGAGGAGGAGGAGGAGGAGGGGGAGGACCTCCCCTTCCTCCCTGAGTCGCCGTCCTGCATATGGTAGTGATGGTGGGAACTTGGCTCATCACACCTCCTCCTGCGAGGCAGCCAGCATCCGCTTCAGCTCCCGCACGGGCTCCTCCGCCGCGGCCACCGCCGCGGCGCAGCGGCGCGCCTCCTCGCAGCAGGAAGGAGAAACGCACACGCTCGGAGGTCCGCTTGTGGAGCCCCCTGGACGGGCGCTGGCGCGCCCCGCGCGACACTCGACAAGCGCGTTCCACCACTCGCAAAAGTAGCTGCTCGCAAATGGCCTGGATCCGCCACAGGGGATGCAAGAACCATTGCGTAGAGGACGACGTGTGTTTTTTGTTGACGTTTGCGAGTGCGCACGCAGCGAGTATTGGAACGCGCCCTGTGAGAAGGGAGCGGTCCAGGGGGGGAGGGGGCTCAACACCAGAACGCAGCAGAAACACAAGCGCCACGGCGGGGGGTCCAGCGCCGGTCCAGGACCTCCGCGCGGACCTCCGAACTGGCATGCTTCTGCGGGCATTGTCGGCGGCGACGCTAGCGGCGAATAGCCCAGTGGCGGGCATTACACGCATTCGCCCGGGAACCCCGTCGGAGACATGGGTCATCGGCGCCTCTGGATACACATGTATTGCTCTCCCCTGGGCTATTCGCCCCTGTCGTCGCCTCTGAGCATTGCTTTTTCGACCCTCGGCATGCGAGAGACGGGTCCCGGAAGAAACGGGCCCCGTGGCCCCTCCCCAATGACCAGTGCCGAGTCGGTTTCCCCGACGGTCCCAGAGCCCAGGAGAGGGCCCCGAGAGCCCAACAACCGAGGAAAAACCTCGTCGTCGTCGTCGTCGTCGTCATCGGGTCCATTTCCCATGGTGGGACACGGCGAGATCTGGGCGATGTCGGCAACCTGAACCCAAAGTCATCTCTTGGGGGTACATATTTTTACGCCGCCTTCCGTCGACTTTCCGCCGGCGGAGGCGGCCTCGTTCTACTTCCGCCGCCCTTCTGCAGCCGTCCGCCGAGGAAAAGATGACAACTCCTTCGGTGCCTGGACAAAACGTGCCCACACCCATGGCGGTACGGCGACGTAACATGGTAACAACCATAACTGCGAAACGCCCTTGCTTCGCACCCCTCCCCCCCAAACCCACAGTTGAAGTGTCCACATCGTGTCTTCGATTGGGCATGTCCCCTAGAGGCAAGCTCTGATTGGGGAAACATACCCTAACCATACTCCAAAAATATTCAAAAATTGTCAAAACAAATCATCCCCTGACTAGTGTTTAAAAATTTGTCCATATTCCCCCTGTAGAGGGACAGGCCCGACTTAAAACTTGTCCCTGGCCTTTGGCCTGCCGCCCAAACCCGCCAACCATGGATCAGGGAGACGGAGGATACAAGTACATCTTGGTCCGACGTGCTCTGATAACTACAGGTCTTGGCCTCGAGACACGTGTGTACACAATTATAAAGGAACAAACATTGACATAAACATAAAGACTCGGAGGTCCGCGCGGGTTTCTCGGATCGGCGCTGAAACGCCCCTCCCTGGCGGCGCCACAGGCGCCGCCAGGAGGCCCCAGCGCGGATTCGCGAAATCCGCGCGGAGCTCCGAGTTATTATGTTCATGTCATTCTTCGTTCCCGTATTTTAGACCACCCACCGTTCGATTCTCGAGGGCAAGAACCTTTTGGAGAGCCTCCCTGTGTATCTAGAGGCCTCATCAATGGGGTCGGAGTAGATGGGGTCGGAGGATCGCGCCGCATCGCCGGTACATCGGCGATGCATCGGCGATGCACCGGCGATGCACCGGCGATGCACCGGCGATGCACCGGCGATGCGCCGGCGATGCACCGGCGATGCATCGGCGGCGTCAACGGTGCATCGGCGACGTCGACGTGAAGCGGATCGTGCTACGCATCGAGCCGCATCGGCGATGCATCGGCCATGCGGCGCGATCCTCCAACCCCATCTACTCCGACCCCATCTTGCGGAAACCAACAGGCATCGATACCGCTACCGGGGTGCGTACTGACCAGAATTTCGAGGCGAATCCAACGGTGGCAAAGAGGGTCTCCGAGGAGGCCCCAAAAGGGGAAAACGGGCGACGGGTAGAGGTATGGGTACCTCTCCCTCCCCTGATCTGCTCCGACCTCATCTAGGAGGCCTGGAACTGTTCGATCCTAGAGGGCAAGGCCCTTCTTAGGGGCAGGGACCGACCGTCCCGGCATTCCCATAGGCCTACCACGATGTTCGTAGAGCCCGAACCTGTTCTTAGAACAAAAACAATGCTCTTATAACATAAAGCCGATGTGTTAAATTAGCCCGGCGAAAGACCAAACCATATGAAGTTGTGAATACCGCAATTGTGAATATCTTCTTCGGTGGCGTTCCCTATGGGGCCACGAAACGCTGTACTCGGTGGGTGAAACGCAGGGAGCAAGGGCTGTGCTGGGTGGTGGCGGACGCATGCGGGCGGTGCCACCGGGTCCTTCGGCGTGGCCCCCCTTATGGGGGCCCGAAACGCTGTACTGGGTGGGTGAAGCGCAAGGAGCAAGGGCTGTGCTAGATGGTGGCGGACGCATGCGGGCGGTGCGTTTGGGACCTTCGGTGGAACCCGCACATGGTGCCACGAAACGCTGTACTGGGTGGGTGAAACGAAAGGAATAATGGCTGTACTGGGTGGTGGCGGACGCATGCGGGTGGTGCCACTGGGACCTTCGGTGGAGCTCCCTATGGTGCCACGAAGCGCTGTACTCGGTGGGTGAAACGCAAGGAGCAAGGGCTGTGCTGGGTGGTGGCGGACACATGCGGGCGGTGCCACTGGGACCTTCGGTGGAGCTCCCTATGCGACCACGAAACGCTGTACTGGGTGGGTGAAGCGCAGGGAGCAAGGGCTGTGGTAGATGGTGGCGGACGCATGCGGGCGGTGCCTTTGGGACCTTCGGTGGAGCCCCCTATGGTGCCACGATGCGCTGTACTGGGTGTGTGAAGCGCAAGGAGCAAGGGCTGTGCTGGGTGGTGGCGGACGCATGCACGCGGTGCCACTGGGACCTTCGGTGGAGCTCCCTATGGGACCACGAAACGCTGTACTGGGTGGGTGAAACGCAAGGAACAAGGGCTGTGCTGGCTGGTGGCGGACGCATGCGGGCGGTGCCACTTGGACCTTCGGTGGAACCCGCATATGGGGCCACGAAGCGCTGTACTGGGTCGGTGAAACGCAGTGAGCAAGGGCTGTGCTGGGTGGTGGCGGACGCATGCGGGCGGTGCCTCTGGGACCTTCGGTCGAGCTCCATATGGGGCCACGAAGAGCTGTACTCGGTGGGTGAAACGCAAGGAGCAAGGGCTGTGCTGGGTGGTGGCGGACGCATGCGGGCGGTGCCACTGGGACCTTCGGTGGAACCCGCACATGGTGCCACGAAACGCTGTACTGGGTGGGTGAAACGCAGGGAGCAAGGGCCGTCTTGGGTGGTGGCGGACGCATGCGGGCAGTGCCGCTGGGCCCTTCCGTGGAGCTCCCTATGGGGCCAACCGTCTCTTCAAAATGAGGACCCAACACCACAGGATGGTTGGGAAACAAGACAGTCCCAGCCAGAACTGTTCTGAGAGCATTTCGTGGAAACCACAACAGGTTCTTAGAACATTGCTTCGTAGGCCGATAGGCACGCCAAGACGCTTTGCCACTGCTTGACTTTTTGGAGACTGTTTTTTGAATCCGCGATAACCCGGGATATCCGGGGGGGGAGGGGGCCGGCGGATAACCTAACCTTCGCGCTGTGGGTAGCCCTGCATATGCCTGCGCCCCCCCCCCAGAACCTGCACAACGGGCAAACTTAGGTTATCCTTGGGGGGGAGGGGGGCAAGCCCGATAACCCGGGTTATCTGATGGGCCTGTTTTCCACCACCACCACCACCTCCTTAAGTTGGATGGGGGAGGGGGTCCTCGTCCTCCTCCTCCTCCTCCTCCTCCTCCTCCTCCTCCTCCTCCTCCTCCTCCTCCTCCTCCTCCTCCTCTCCTCACCCCTCCAACTTATGGTGGTTGTGGCAGTGGAAAACAGGCCCATCATCATCGCCGGACCCTAAAAACAGTCTCTTGGGGGGACCCCTGTGTATCCTCGGCCCCTTGCGCGCGGGCGGCCTCGAGCTCCTCCCGCGCCTGCCGCGCCTTGCAAGGGAGGCGCCCGCTCCTCTCACGTTTGACTTCGGTCTCACCCCCCAACCTCCGACAGCACAGGAGTGGAATGGCAAGGCGAGGGCTAAGGCATCCTGGAGGGGTGTGCGGCTGCCGAAGGGGGGCATTGCATTGGAGCCGTGCCTCCGAACGGCGGAAGGACTACTGCCGCAACAACGCTACGTATGCGATGCAAGACTCTTATGTGCACCTTTTGTTCCAGCGCGGGCCTTGCGGCGGCCTCATCGAGGGCGGCAGATCAACCTCACCAGGCCAAAACAGAAGTACCTTCCATGAGGCGTGTGCGCAAGCGCGGACGCATGCGGACCGCAAAATGAAAGAGGACACATGAGGCGTCCTCTCTGGACAATCGGCCTCACGTCCCTCCTGAAAGGAGGGAAGGGGAGGCGAAGGAAGGGCAGAGAGGACGGACATTTGGGGAATTCGGGTGCCACGGGGGCGTCGGTCTGAAGCCACACTTCTACCACTGTCATAGATGGCACCAGGGGGGTCATGTCCTGCATTCGCGAAATGTTTTAGAGGCCTCTTCCCCAAACAGTGCTTGCACTTGGGGGTTCATACTTCTTTTTCAGCATAACCATCAGGAAAGCACTACCGCATGCGTCACTCGGAGGAGCGCACTTGTCATATACCCACCGTTTCAAAGTATCCCGCTCGTCACTACTCCTACCAAAGAAATATGTCTGGTACAAGATGCCGGGGGAGTCATCACGTCTTTGTGGTCGTCTTCTCCCAGCAGACCTCCGACGGCAAACCCTGATCGCCCCAAATGCTTCACATACACATTCAAGTACAGGATGCCACTCTCTGTGCGTCCATGGACGACTTTCAGCTCAACCTGAACGAGAGCAACCCATTGCGGAGTCTTCGTTACGCTTTGCTGCACGCTGTAGTGATACCCTCCAACTTGCTTAGCCTCTGCCCAAGAGCCTGTAATGTTCAGTTCTTGGAAGTACATATCCGAGCAACTTCCACCCACGCGGCGGGCATCGGCCTGCACACGAAGCAATGCGTCTTCAGCGCTCACACCACGAGGAATGTTTATCAGAACATGTTTGCCCGCCTGCATTAGATCGAATCGCTCGCCGTGAACGTTTTGAAGGTGGGGATCGCCAGTGGCAGCCACGCCTCCGCCAGCTCCGCCCGCCGTAGGACCTGCGGGAGGAAACGTTGGATGTGGCGTCGGCCAACTCAGAGGATACGTCGGGCTGGGTGTCGGGCTGGGCGTCGGGAAGGACGTCGGAAAGGCCGTCGGGTAGGGCGTCGGGAAAGCTGTTGGGTAAGGCGTCGGGAAGGCCGTCGGGTAGGGCGTCGGGAAGGCCGTCGGGAAGGGCGTGGGGAAGGCCGTCGGGTAGGGCGTCGGGAAGGCCGTCGGGTACGGTGACGGGTACGGCGTCGGGTTCGGCGTCGGGTTCGGCGTCGGCTTCGGAGTCGGGTACGGCGTCGGGTTCGGCGTCGGGTTCGGCGTCGGCTTCGTCGTCGGGTACGGCGTCGGGTTCGGCGTCGGGTTCGGCGTCGGGTTCGGAGTCGGGTACGGCGTCGGGTTCGGCGTCGGGTTCGGCGTCGGGTACGGCGTCGTGTTCGGCGTCGGGTTCGGCGTCGGCTTCGGCGTCGGGTACGGCGTCGGGTTCGGCGTCGGGTTCGGCGTCGGCCTCGGCGTCGGGTACGGCGTCGGCCTCGGCGTCGGGTACGGCGTCGGCCTCGGCGTCGGATACGGCGTCGGCCTCGGCGTCGGGTACGGCGTCGGCCTTCGGGGCGTCGGCCACGGCGTACGGCGTCGGCCTCGGCGTCGGGTACGGCGTCGGCTTCGGCGTCGGGTACCGCGTCGGCCACCGCGTCGGCCACGGCGTCGGCCACGGCGTCGGTCTCGGCGTCGGGTCGGGCCCTTTCGCCGCCAAAGACCTGTCCAGAGACTGCTGATCATCCGCGTCCCGGGAGCCCCTGGAGCTGTCCATTAGCACCTTCGCCGCCTGGGAGCTGCTGGGCCTGGCCACCTTGCAGAGGCCACACGTTGCAGGGCAGGTCGCCTGCACAGTGCTGCCATACTTCGAGTTCTCGCAGTAAGGCTGCACCTCAGCACAACCACTGATGCTGACGCCGATGCCGCTTGCCAGCGCAATAATTTGGGCGTCGTCATCTGCACACTTCAGCTTGGAGCTCACACCGATGGAGGTCGCCATGGGCACGCTGATGCTGAGGACGAATGCAACCGCGGACCACACGGTCCAAGGTACCTTCTGGACCGCCATCCCACGGAACTGAAAGGAAAGGACCCGCAGGCCAAATGTTTTCGCGCGTGTGCAGATTACGGACAAAATGGAAACTGCTTCAGGTCTGCCTGAACCAGAATGCCTGAACCGGTCTCGAGGGTCCGGCGCGGACAGCACAGATGCTCCCGGCGAGAACGCCAGTAAGGCGATCACGATTGGCCAGAGGACGATCTCCAAGACCCCATTGGGGGCGATTCTGAGGAAGCGGATCCCTGGGCCGACGAACTCGACTTCTGTCCTGACGCTAGTCTGGGAGCTGCGACCCGACCGTGGGTACGGCACCGCATTCCGAGTGCACCCCACGCGAGGTCACGAAATGGCAGCGCTTGCGCAGCACGCTGCGCCCGGAGACGGAGGAGGAGGAGGAGGAGGAGGAGGAGGAGGAGGAGGAGGACCTGTGTAAACCCAAGACTCATCAACGATGTTGGAATAAACCCTCCCTCCAAGCTCCCTCTCCGTAGGCCCCTGCAAGGATTCATTTCCACTGAGGGAAGTGCCCCGTTGGGAGACAACCGTTTGAAGACGGATGACTGCCCCTACTGGGCTCGTGGGTGGCGCCCCCAGCGGGGCGCCATCCCCTTGACAAGGCGTGCCGGAACGGGCGCGGAGACGCCGCGGGAATTCCCACTGGGGCCTTTGGTGTATGGCCGCGATCTTCGCGAGGGGCGTGCCGACGCGGGCACGGAGACGCCACTGGAGCGCCCCCGCGAGGGCCGCGGGCGGAGCTCCCTCACTGGCGCGAGCCGCGGGAAAGGAGCGCCGCAATGGCTGAGGGTGGAGCCCATTGCGGGCCGCAGGCGACGCTCCCCACGGGGCGCGATCCGCGCGAGGTTGTTGCCGAACTGATCACGACGTTCGCAGCAACAGCAGCGGATGGCATCGGCGGGCCACCAGCAGCATGCAGCAGGCAACGCAGCAGAGGCGGCTGCGAGCGGAGGAGGGCGGGGGGAGGCGGGTAACGGAGGAGGAGTCAAAGCACATGCCAACGAAAGAAGATTGGAAACACGAGCGGCACCGAAAAACAAACCCTGCTATAGACTACACATCTGCGAAATGTGTGCAACTGTGAAAAGAATGTGCGCGGCACCAAGGCTAGAGCCACAGTTTGAAAACGGCCCGCTCTAAATACGTGACATGTTTGCAAAGGTTGAAACTTCAATGTTATAAACGCGAAACGCCCCGCCCGCCTTTTCGACCAGCCTCGGGGTGCGACAGGGATATATAAGGAAAGGGAATGGAAGATGAGGACGTGGCCCACGTGATTGCCCTGATGCTCAGGGCATTGCCACGGGACTGCCCCGAGTGCCTTCCAAAGTGGCAACAGTTTCGCAGTGCACGCCTCCTTAGGGATGGCGAGGTCCAATCTGAGTCCGAACTCTGCTGGCCCCCCAGCAGCCCTCGAAAGTGGCAGCAATTCCGCAGTTCACAGGCCCCCAGCGAGCCCCAGACAGGACGGCGAGGCAGGAGGCAGGAGGCACGGAGGAAGGAGGAGGAAGGAGGAGGAAGACAAGAACCCAACACAGGCCAGCTGTAGAACCATCCGGAAAACCATCGGGCAACCAGAGAGACAACCATCAAGACGCCCATCAGGACAACCATCGGGACAAGCATCGGGGACAACCATCGGGCCATTGGGACGCCCATCGGGAAAACCAGCGGGACGGCCACGGGGGCAACCATCGAGACAACTATCAGGGCGACCATCGGGACGACCATCGCGACAACCGTCGGAACAACCATCGGAACAACCATCGGAACAACCATCGGGACAACCGTCGGGACAACCATCGGGAAAATCATAGGGATTTCCATCGGGGCAACCATCGGGACAACCGCCCAGTCAACTGTGGGGACAACCATCCGGACAACCAGCGGGACCATCTTCACACCACGGCCGGCGCGTGGGGCGACTCATTCTTGCCCTGACTTGGCCCTAGGCCCCTAACCAATCTGCGAACTCGCGCACCTTCGCCTCGCCTCGCCTCGCCCGCACGCACGTGCGATTTCCCGGTTGGTGCATCTCACGTTTCACCTCGGTCTCACCCCCCAACCTCTGACAGCACAGGAGTGGAATGGCAAGGCGAGGGCTAAGGCATCCTGGAGGGGTGTGCGGCTGCCGAAGGGGGGCATTGCATTGGAGCCGTGTCTCCGAACGGCGGAAGGACTACATCCGCAACAACGCTACGTATGCGATGCAAGATTCTTACGTGCACCTTCTGTTCCAGCGCGGGCCTTGCGGCGGCCTCATCGAGGGCGGCAGATCAACCTCACCAGGCCAAAACAGAAGTACCTTCCATGAGGCGTGTGCGCAAGCGCGGACGCATGCGGACCGCAAAATGAAAGCGGACACATGAGGCGTCCTCTCTGGACAATCGGCCTCACGTCCCTCCTGAAAGGAGGGAAGGGGAGGCGAAGGAAAGGCAGAGAGGACGGACATTTGGGGAATTCGGGTGCCACGGGGGCGTCGGTCTGAAGCCACACTTCTACCACTGTCATAGATGGCACCAGAGGGGGTCATGTCCTGCATCCGCGAAATGTTTTAGAGGCCTCTTCCCCAAACAGTGCTTGCACTTGGGGGTTCATACTTCTTTTCTATTATGACCATCAGGAAAGCACTACCGCATGCGTCACCCGGAGCGCACTTGTCATATACCCACCGTTTCAAAGTATCCCGCTCGTCACTACTCCTACCAAAGAAATGTGTCTGGTACAAGATGCCGGGGGAGTCATCACGTCCTTGTGGTCGTCTTCCCCCAGCAGACCTCCGACGGCAAACCCTGATCGCCCCAAATGCTTCACATACACATTCAAGTACAGGATGCCACTCTCTGTGCGTCCATGGACGACTTTCAGCTCAACCTGACCGAGAGCAACCCATTGCGGAGTCTTCGTTACGCTTTGCTGCACGCTGTAGTGATACCCTCCAACTTGCTTAGCCTCTGCCCAAGAGCCAGTAATGTTCAGTTCTTGGAAGTACATATCCGAGCAACTTCCACCCACGCGGCGGGCATCGGCCTGCACACGAAGCAATGCGTCTTCAGCGCTCACACCACGAGGAATGTTTATCAGAACATGTTTGCCCGCCTGCATTAGATCGAATCGCTCGCCGTGAACGTTTTGAAGGTGGGGATCGCCAGTGGCAGCCACGCCTCCGCCAGCTCCGCCCGCCGTAGGACCTGCGGGAGGAAACGTTGGATGTGGCGTCGGCCAACTCAGAGGATACGTCGGGCTGGGCGTCGGGCTGGGCGTCGGGAAGGACGTCGGGAAGGCCGTCGGGTAGGGCGTCGGGAAAGCTGTTGGGTAAGGCGTCGGGAAGGCAGTCGGGTAGGGCGTCGGGAAGGCCGTCGGGAAAGGCGTGGGGAAGGCCGTCGGGTAGGGCGTCGGGAAGGCCGTCGGGTACGGAGACGGGTACGGCGTCGGGTTCGGCGTCGGCCCTTGGAAGTCGGGTACGGCGTCGGTTCGGCCGTGGTTCGGCGTCGGGAAGGCCGTCGGGTACGGCGTCGGGTACGGCGTCGGGTACGGCGTCGGGTACGGCGTCGGGTACGGCGTCGGGTTCGGCGTCGGGTTCGGCGTCGGGTACGGCGTCGGGTTCGGCGTCGGGTTCGGCGTCGGCTTCGGCGTCGGATACGGCGTCGGCTTCGGCGTCGGCCACGGCGTCGGCCTCGGCGTCGGGTACGGCGTCGGCCTCGGCGTCGGGTACGGCGTCGGCCTCGGCGTCGGATACGGCGTCGGCCTCGGCGTCGGGTACGGCGTCGGCCTTGGCGTCGGGTACCGCGTCGGCCACGGCGTCGGCCACGGCGTCGGCCTCGGCGTCGGCCACCGCGTCGGCCACGGCGTCGGCCACGGCGTCGGTCTCGGCGTCGGGTCGGGCCCTTTCGCCGCCAAAGACCTGTCCAGAGACTGCGCGTCCCGGGAGCCCCTGGAGCTGTCCATTAGCACCTTCGCCGCCTGGGAGCTGCTGGGCCTGGCCACCTTGCAGAGGCCACACGTTGCAGGGCAGGTCGCCTGCACAGTGCTGCCATACTTCGAGTTCTCGCAGTAAGGCTGCACCTCAGTCAGCACAACCACTGATGCTGACGCCGATGCCGCTTGCCAGCGCAATAATTTGGGCGTCGTCATCTGCACACTTCAGCTTGGAGCTCACACCGATGGAGGTCGCCATGGGCACGCTGATGCTGAGGACGAATGCAACCGCGGACCACACGGTCCAAAGTGCCTTCTGGACCGCCATCCCACGGAACTGAAAGGAAATGACCCGCAGGCCAAATGTTTTCGCGCGTGTGCAGATTACGGACAAAAAAGGGGAAGCTGCTCCAGGTCTGCCTGAACCAGAATGCCTGAACCGGGATGCATATGGTGTCACGAATCGCATGGCGATCTGTGGTAGACGGCCAAGTCGACGTCTCGAGGGTCCGGCGCGGCCAGCACAGATGCTCCCGGCGAGAACGCCAGTAATGACGGTCACGGTTGGCCCGAGGACGATCTCCAAGACCCCATTTGGGGCGATTCTGAGGAAGCGGATCCCTGGGCCGACGAACTCGACTTCTGTCCTGACGCTAGTCTGGGAGCTGCGACCCGACCGTGGGTACGGCACCGCATTCCGAGTGCACCCCACGCGAGGTCATGGAAGTGGCAGCGCTTGCGCAGCACGCTGCGCCTGGAGACGGAGGAGGAGGAAGAGGACCTGTGCAAACCCAAGACTCATCAACGATGTTCCCTACCTAGGCTCTGCCTAGAAGGGTTCTTACTCTCTAGCTTAAAGGGGCCGGGCAGTGGAAAGCGCCCCGGGCGGTTCCCCCAGTCCCCTGGGAGCGGTTCCCCCCAGTCCCCTGGGAGCTTTAGCTTTAGCTTTAGCTTAGCTTTAGCTTAGCTTTAGCTTAGCTGTAGCTTAGCTTTAGCTTAGCGTTACGCTTAGCTTTTCGTTTAGCGTTTAGCTTAGCTTTAGCTTAGCTTGAGCTTAGCTG